GCAGAACCTGTAGAAGAAGAATTCCCAAGGTTGCTGAGCCGAATCTTGTTGGAAGCTCACCCTTCTCTGCTAGAAGCTATACATTTTGAAATTGTCAACAGAAATATGAAGAAAGAAACCTGCACAATCTTGATTGGTTTTTCTATTAAAATGATTACAAGTTTTAAAACCGTGCTAATACCTGTAGAACAAAAGCTGAAGATGACAATGAGAGAGCAGCGCCAATGACAACGGCCTCATCAATGCTTCTAATGTTGACCTAGAGTATTAGAGAACGTATAGATCATATTAAAAGTCTAGCACAAAGCACCGGAGATTAACAGTTATTAGACCATTATCACATTCGGAAAAGAGGCGACTGCTAAATTTGAAGAATATGAAATACCACGAGAGTCTTAAAAAGACAAGAAGTGAAAAAGCATACCAAGTCAGGCCTTGAATGAAAGAGGAATTCGAGAATTCTTGTTCCTATGGCTCCATTTGGTGGGAGTTCAAAAGCGGTGAATGCAAGTGTGCATAACAAAACCTTCAAGACAGCGGAAAGGGACAAAGTAAAACAGAACAGCGTAAGGTAACAATGTATGACATCCTTGCAGACAGTGATCTGGCAATTGTGATAGAGAAGAGTGGTATGGTCTAAAACGGTGCAAAATGAAATTGAGTCCTAGAGGTTCTTGACTCTTGAAATGTTTATCTGACAGAAGTGAAGATATAAGAAGGAATGTAAACGGTTTGAGACAACTCATGGAACTTGTTTAAGGACCAAACCTGAGTTAATCCCATGCCAAAAGCAAATTTCGCGAGAGCTTTCAGACGTGCAAGCGAGAGCTCTAGACCCATCTCAAAGAGCTGCCAAAGACAAATCAGTGCAAAATCCCAATCATTAGTCAATGCATAAAGCTTTCTAACAAGAAAATGAACATTATTATTCAAATACTCACCAAGAAAAGAATCCCCCACTCGGAAAGAACTTTAACATCTGTAAGATTTCTAATCAAACCAAATTGATTGAGTACAACACCAGCAAAGAAGAATCCAAGTATCTGGCAAAACCATCAAAAAATACAAAACTTATACGCCAAAGTATTGTAGTCGGCAATATAAACAAAACCCGTGTAAGCATTTCGTTATACCGGACTAGCTTTGAGTACTCTGAACGCAGGGACAATAATAACAGTGACCATCAAGAATGTCAAAGTATCGAATCCAAGATCGTTGATTACATCAACAGCACTAGCTACATCTACTCCAGCATAACTCCGCACTCTCCTCCTCCCTTCGAATTCAGACCATCTACCTCGGAAATACAATCTCCTAGAAGTATTTAGAAAAACCCTTCTTTTAACTAAATCTCTAGCTCCAAAAGAATGCAACTTCATCATCATCATCCCATAGTTTACGCCTTCCGAATGCAAAGGCACACACGATTTCACCGTGAACACACAATGCCTCAATCGACCATTGTGTTGTTTAACTATCTCATACCTCTGCAATCCAATCAAAACCCCTAAATCAGAACCAAGATTCAACTGTACAGAAACTTATATAATCCTGAATTCTTCTTCACTTAAAGTAGCAAACTTTCAGACAATAGAGATTCGATTCCGACACAAAACTAGAAATCCAAGTAAGTGAAAGCAGGAGCTACCTTGGGAGAGGGGCAACAAGAGATGGACCCCAACATAGTACTAATTGCCATTTTGAGATGAAATCCAACAGAATTAAAGGCATCTGCTTTTGAAACCCATAAACCCTTTAAAAACTCAAACTTTAAAGTTATAATAATATTACAGAGGAAGAGTTTGAAGAAATTTGACGAGAAGCTAAGGAAGACAATAGACCACGTCAGAGACCTCGTGTATCTCCAGATATATACATAAAGGTTTAGGGAGAGAGAAAGACAGTGAAAGGAAGGGAATTTCATGTC